TGGGCACTCAGAGCTGTCCGTTTCCGGCTCAGGACTTTGTCTGCCCTGGTCTCTCTCCTTAGCTCCCCACCCCACACTGCTCTCTTCTGCCTCTCCTGTTCCTCAGCCGAGAACAGCCCTGGGATCTGGGAAGGTCCCACGCTCCAGAGGACAGCAGCTTGGCCTCTGGCCCTTTCACTGGGTGACATCATCCCCTTGGGGTCTGCTGGGAAAAGACCATCAAGACCCAGCTGATGTGTGCGGCCCGGGTTCCCACAGCTTGCCCCTCCTTCCCGTCTCACCCCTCTCACAGCTGCCTCCCCCCTCCAGTGTTAGCACCCTGCCTGTGGCTGGGCTGACTGAGGTCGGCCCTTTCCCCTGCATTGGGCAGCGTTGGTGGGAAAAGGGACAGGACAGACGTGATGAATGGAATCCCGGGCAGCTTCGCGGAGGAGGAGACATTCTGGAAGTACATGGGATGAGCACCCGAGCTTTCCTGTGCCGTGGGGAGATGCACGTTACTTCACTTCCCCTGCGCAATAGCTGTGCAAGGCGCTGTACAGTTTCCATTTTAAAGAATGGAGAAGTTGAAAAGCAGAGACGCTCAGTAACCAGCCCGGGTCACACAGCTGCCATGGATGTGCCAGAGCTGGGATCTGAACTCATCCCATTCGTCTCCAGAACCCAAGTTCTAAGCCAATACAGAATATTATGTTCCATATGGGTGTGATTGTAGCCCACATGTACTTAAATGGGTCCTCTGTTTATGGATAGCCCTGAATTCATGCACACCCACACGTTCATTCTCGCTGGAAAATGTCAGCGTTCTTTCCTATGGATTTTTCCACCCTGGACGGGACTGAATGGGGTCATTTCATTCCTCCGCTGCCTCGGACCTGGGCCGTACTCAGCCCTCGGGAGGGAAGCCTGCCAGTTCACTCTCCTTCCTCTGGGGGAGACGAAGCCTTGGGAATGGCCCTGGCTCGCTCTCCCCGTGTGAGTTACTGTCTGAAGGGAGCAAGCCATCTGGAGGGATGCTGTGGGGGAGTCCATGCTGCTCGGTGTCTGTGGTGACACAGGGAGGTGTGGAGCTGAGCCCCTGCCCTCCAGCCACAGATGCTTAGTGAATATTCCGTGGGGGACTGAGCACTAGAATCAGAGGACAGAGGCGCTGCCTAAGTAGCAGGACTACAGGGAACAGCAGATGAAGCATCACAGAAGAGCTTTTTTTTTAAAAAAAAAATTATTCATTTGAAAGGCAGAGTTACAGAGAGAGAGAGAGAGGTCTTCCATTTGTTGGTTCTTTCCCCCAAATGGCCGCAACAGCCGGAGATGAGCTGATCCTGAGCTGATCCGAAGCCAGGAGCTTCTTCCAGGTTTCCTACATGGGTGCAGGGGCCCAAGCACTTGCGCCATTCTCTGCTGCTTTCCCAGGCTATAGCAGAGAGCTGGATTGGAAGTGGAGCAGTCGGGACTTGAACTGGTACCCATATGGGATGCCGGCACTGCAGGCGGGGACCTTAACCTGTTGCGCCACAGCGCGGGCCCCTGCTGCAGTTTCCAAGGGATGGGAACTACCTAAGGTTGGACCAGGGCAGGGTGGCTGAACAGAGAAGCCGTGACTCCGGGTCCCAGGTAGGGGTAACGTGGAAGGTGGCGCTGAGGGAGGAGGAGGAATAGGGCAGTGGGAGGGAGAAGCACTGTGGCAGGAAGGAAACGAGCTCACTTTGGGGCCCTGATTCTCCTCCAGCTCTGCCTCTGGGTCTTACCAGCTGCTTCTGAAAGGAAGGAAGGAAGGGCTCCGGAAGGTAGGAGCCGAGAGGTCAGGGCAAAGGGCTGTCAGCTACACACGGAGCCAGCCCACCACGGCCTCTGTGTCTCTGGCTGCCGCCACTGCCACCATCACCGCCACCGCCACCGCTACCAAGCGGCATTGACCTGCCTCAGCAAGCCCCAGACCTCTTGGGGCCTCGAACCATGGCTTCTTGCCCCATGTCGGGGAAGGTGCACAAAGCGTGGATATGGGCCTCCTGCACCCTCAGAGGCAGTCTGTCCTCCACCATCCCATAGTGCTGCTAGCTCCTTGGGAGCCTGGCCCACCAGGGCCAGGGGTGGCAGGGGAGGACTCCCCCCAGAAGCCTGCAGGGGTCAGCTGCCAGCCCGGCCTAGCCCAGCACACAGCGCCTCTGTGCCTGCCCTTCCTCCCCCACCCCTCCTTCTGGGTTTAGCCCTGAGCATTAAGACAAGCCTGGGAGGAAAGATGATCCCGCAGGTCCCTGGGCAGGAGGTGAGGGGGGCTTAAGAAACAGATGGTCCCCGCACATGAGGCTTGCTGTGGGTAACTTGATCAGGACCTGGGGAGGGGGCTGGGGGGCCGGGGACCAGGAGCCCTGTGAGTGCCATCAGTCCGGGCCTCTCCTCCCCTGCCTGCAGATTCGGCCCTCACCCAAGCCAGGCTCTCAGCCCATCCCAGCTGGCACCTGGGACTTGGGACTCAGACACCCAAAACATGGCTGGGAGGACCGGCTCTGTGGTGTGGCCAGGGCAGCAAGGCCAACAGGCCGAGCAAGCAGGAAGGGCACTGGCGCCAAGTGTGAGAGCAGCTGAGGGAGGACAGGTGTTGGGCCGGGAGAGAGGCGGGAGAAACTGGGCCCAGTTCCCAGCCAGCAGGCGCTCCCCGGCCTCTTAGGTTTTTCTAACCAGTAGCAAGGAAAGGACCCCCGGGCCCACACTTTCTCCTGGGGACTCTGAACCCCTCCTCAGCCCCTAGTGCCCCTTTCACCCCTGCCCCACTGCCTGCAGAGGGCAAAGTAGCCTTAAGGCCCAGCTCCACCGGCCAGTCAGCCCTCCAGCTTCTGCAGTGAGATGGCCCTGTGTCTGAGTCCCACCCTAGGAGCTGTGTGCGCTTAGGGAAGCTGCTTCATCGCTCCTGCGGCTCACTCATTTGTTACCAGGACAGTAGAATAGCAGCCTCATAGGGTTTATCCCAGTGTGCCTTGAGAAGTGAGGGGGAAATGGAATGAAAAGAAGTGCTGTGGCATGTTTTTTGTTTTTTTTTTGGGGGGGGTGGAGTGTGCAAACATTTTTTGAAATCCATGCATAGTTTTTTCATAAAACACATCTTCCATGATGTTTTAAAAGGATTTTATTAATTTATTTGAGAGGCAGAGCTACAGAGAGAGAGAGAGGGACAGGGAGAAAGGTCTTCCATCTGCTCCTTCACTCCCTAAGTGGCCACAGTGGCCAGAGCTGAACTGATCCAAAGCCAGGAACCAAGAGCCTTTCTGAGTCTTCCATGGGGGTGCAGGGGCCCAAGCACGTGGGCCATTTTCTACTGCTTTCCCAGGCCATAGCAGAGAGCTGGATCAGAAGACAGGCAGCTGGGACACCAACCAGTGCCCGTATGGGATGCCGGCACTGCAGGTGGAGGCCTAGCCCACTACGCCAAAGTGCCGGCCCCTCTGTGAATTTTTGACAGCTCCTCATATGCGTGGCTTTCAAAATATTTTTGCACCAAATAAATTCCTTTTAGTTCCGCTTGAAGGACCTCTATATAAAGCTTAAATGAGGTAATGTTAGCACAGGTCCTGACACAGTATATGCTCACAAACTGCTGCCTCCGTCAGACCCCAGTGTGGACGGGATGACCACCCCAACTTAGTTCACCCTCACTCTGCTCTCAGCTTCATCTTGGCCAAGTGAGTGATGCGCCTCAGTTTCCTTATCTGTCAGATGTGACACATCACAGTCACTGCTGCACAGGGTAGTTGGGGACATTCAGCAGACAGATTTTCACATGCAGGCGGTCCCCAACCTGACAACAGTGTGAAGCAGACCCTTGTCTTTCACTGTGAGTGAAAGCACTCTATTAGAAAGTAGCCTTTGGGGCTGGCGCTGTGGCATAGTGGGTAAAGCCGCTGCCTGCAGTGTGGCATCCCATATGGGTGCCGGTTCGAGTCCCAGCTGCTCCACGTCTGATCCAGCTCTCTGCTATGGCCTGGGAAAGCAGTAGAAGATGGCCCAAGTCCTTGGGCCCCTGCACCTGCATGGGAGACCCAGAAGAAGCTCCTGGCTCCTGGCTTCGGATCAGCTCAGCTCTGGCTGTCTCAGCCAATTGGGGAGTAAACCAGCAGATGGAAGCGTGCTCTCTCTCTCTTTCTCTCTCTCTCTCTGCCTCTGCCTCTCTGTAACTCTGCCTTTCAAATAAATAAATAAATCTTAAAAAAAGAAAAGAAAAGAAAAAACAAAGTAGGCTTTGTGTGGGATGACCGCACTCCACTGGAAGACGGACGTGTGTCTGTCACAGCTGAGGCAGGCTGAGCTAAGCTGTGATGGTCGGGAGCTCAGGTGCATTTCACACAATTTTTTACTTCCGACATTTCCACTTGGGATGGGCTCAGCAGGATGTGGCCCCATTGGAAGTGGAGTTGCATCTGTACAGCATAGGACAGTGCCTGCCTTAAGTAGTTAGCCACTATTCTTGTTGTTTCCTCCATCTAGCCATATCTGCTTTAAAACTCCTCCTCTGGGGGCCGGCGCTGTGGCATAGTGGGTAAAACCACCACCTGCAGTGCCAGAATCCCATGTGTGTGCCGGTTCGAGTCCTGGCTACTCCACTTCTGATGCAGCTCTTTGCTAATGTGCCTGGGTAGAGCAATAGAAGATGGCCCAAGCGCTTGGGCCCCTGCACCCACGTGGGAGACCCAGAAGAAGCTCCTGGCTCCTGGTTTCAGCCAATCTTTGTGGCTATTTGGGTTGTGAACCAGAGGATGGAAGATCTCTCTCTCTCTCTCTCTCTCTCTCTCTCTCTCTCTCTCTCTAACTGCCTTTCAAATAAACAAATCTTTTTAAAAACCACACACACAAACTCCTCTGCTAGCACGGAGCTGCGCTGGGCCAGACTGTAGAGAGGTGAGTTAGAGGCGGGTGGCAGGACGCTGGAGTGTGTGTTAGGCAGGGGCTCTGGTCTGCCCTCCTAGCCCTGTGGCTCATTGGCCCTGTGCTTTCTCTGTCCCCTGTAGATGTCCATGAAGGAGGTGGGTGATGGCTTACAGGACCAGATGAACTGCATGATGGGTGCACTGCAAGAACTGAAGCTCCTCCAGGTGCAGACAGCATTGGAACAGCTGGATATTTCTGGAGGGCATCCTGCCCCAGGCAACCCTGAAAGTCCCCGGACCCAGCCCGAGCACCCGCCATGGGAGGGTGGCAGAGCACCTGCCAGGCCTGCAGCCTGCTCCCTCTCCAGCCAGCCCCCTCTTGGCTGCAGCCCCAAGGTTCCACCCCACGGGAATGTCTGTGGCAGGGATACAGCCCCCCTGCCCAGGACACAGCCGCCGGATCGCCAGAGCCGCGGCCAGCAGGGGTCGGAGCAGGTGGAACCCGATGACTGGACCTCCACACTGATGTCCCGGGGCCGGAACCGACAGCCTCTCGTGTTAGGGGACAATGTTTTTGCGGACCTGGTGGGCAACTGGCTGGACTTACCAGAACTGGAGAAGTCTGGGGAGAAGGGCGAGCCTCGGGGGGCAGGGGAGCCCCAGGCAGAGAAAGGCCAGCCCCGCGAGCTGGGCCGCAAGTTTGCCTTGACCGCCAACATCTTTAGGAAGTTCCTGAGAAGTGTGCGGCCTGACCGGGACCGGCTGCTGAAGGAGAAGCCAGGCTGGGTGACGCCCACGGCCTCTGAGCCCCGGGCCGGGCGCTCCCAGAAGGTCAAGAAGCGCAGCCATTCCAAGGGCTCCAGCCGCTGCGCCTTCCCAGGCACCGGGGAGCCCCGGGGAGCGGACAGTCCTGCCGCAAGGTGCCCCAAGGCCCTAGAGGCCTCACCCTCCGGCTTTGATGTGAACTCAGCTGTTTGGGTCTGAATCCCCGAGACGGGAAGTTGACTGAACCTGACCAGGTCCCAAGGCTGGGCCGCGGGGAGGAGAGGGCGGGCCAACTCCAAGTTCTCAGCACGGGGAGGAGGGGAGTGCGACAGGGAGAGGCAGGGAGGGGCTGGCTGGCGCGGGGGAGGTGAGTTCCTGGGGAGAGAGAGAGAGAGAGCGCGCGAGCAAGCGAGCGCGAGCTCCTTTGGGGGCTGGAGGGGACCACAGGGGAGGAGAGAGGCAGCGGGAGACCAGGAAATCCCTCTGACATTCCTCTGATGCCCCCAGAGACCCCGGCGGCATATTCTGTAAGGAAAAGGGCACTGCAGCCTCGGGTTCCCCACAGGCCCTCCGCAATGACCCGAGTCTGGAGCCCCAAGCCTTGTAACTGCTCCGCTGGGCCAGCAGCGCTGGGCCGCAGGGAGGCAAGCCCCCACCGCTCTTGTTTCTTTGAGGTCCCAGCCGCACCTGGCTCCTGAGAAGCGAGCTGAATAGGGCCATGTCTACGGGGGAGTTGGGGGGACCCCAGACCGCCTCCCGCCTCCCTAGCAGCCCCGCCCACGTCCACGCGCCTATTTGCACGAGGGCAACGAGGCAGGCATGACGCCGTTTCTCGGATGAGGATGCAAACTGTCCTAGGCTGCCTGTCCGGGAACGCGCAGCTAACAGCGGGCCGCAGAGTAGACGGCGGACGGGGAGGGGACGCACTGCCCCGCCCACGGGACGCCCCGCCTGCGGCCCTCAGCTGTCACTCCGGCAGTCGCGCGGCCCCTCCTACGCGTCCCGGCTTGCCCGGAGCCGGCCTAGGTGCAGTGGGCAGGGTCCAGGCCGCCGCGGCCCGCCCACCTCGGCGGGGGACGACCCCTCGCTGCGAGAGGCTCGTGTGGGTCCGCTTGTAGGCCGCGCCCTCGCCCCGCCCCGGTTCCCCGGCGGCGGATAGCCACTCGGCCTGATGAGCTGTGACAGCTGCAATTAGAGGCAAGACGCTTCCTGCCCTCAGCGCGGTAGTAGCAAATCGGTGGAGAAAAATAACAGGACACCGTACTGCTGCAGCCTGCACCATGGAACGCCCGGGTGGGGGCGGGGCGCAGCGGCCGGAGTCGGGGTCACCCGCAGAGTCCCGCTCAGTCACGTGGCAGGTGTGTAGTGTTTGATGGGGGAAGCTACGCGCCCCCCGCTGTTTGGTTTTGAGAGCTGGCTCTTTGCCAGGCAGCCTGCGCATGGCTTGCACACTCAGCGTGCCCCTAAGATACAGGCTGCTCCACATAGCTCAGTGGAGGCCCCCGGGTCATGCGAACTGCCCAGATGGGCTGCTAGCCAAGGAAAGAACCAAGGTGGGAGCACAGGGGTATCTGCCTCCCAAACTCCTGCTCTCTCTCTCTCTCTCTCCCCCTCCCTCCCTCCCTGGAGCCAGTTCTCCCATGGGGGAGCCAGCCCTCTCCACCTGACATTTCAGGCTCTGGCTGCCTTTGGTGCCAGTGATTGTGTGTGTGCATGTGTGTGTGTGTGTGTGTCTGTCTGTCTGTCTGTCAAGGTGCATGTGAAGATTCCACCCATGAAATTGTAAGTGGAGGGAGCTGAGCAGCAAGGTATTACAGGATGGCACCCACTTCGGGTCTGCAATGACTCTAGGAAACCAAGCCACCTCTTGGCCATTCACCTGCAACTCGGGTTTTATGGGCTGGTCACAGATCAGTCGCACGGAATTTCTCCAACACTTCCCATTGCCAGACATTGCGATGTGGACTAAGCTGCTTCTGACCTCCAGGGGATCCAACAGAAGAGGAAGCAGCTCTTCAGCCAGAAGGGATTCAGGGACTGGACACTCATTTTGACTTGGACCAGCACAAAGCCATGAGGAAGAGACCTTGGCTTTCAGCATCATGGCAGGTGCCAGGCACCGTCCCCTCTGTGCTGGTGCCCTGCTATTACTATTACTTTATAGGCCCAGAAAAGTCACTCATCCAAGGCCCTATAGTGGCAGAGCTGGGACTGAAACTGTTCCCACTGACTCCCAATGGCACACTGTCGCCAGACGCACGAGTTGTCCGCATCTGCTCCAAAGCCACATCAAGGGGAGCAGCAACAATCTGCCCTCCCGCATTAGCTGTTCCTGGATAGGAAGTGGCCCACCGACTGTCCCCGGATGAGCCCTGCCTGGGTCTTAGGCGGCAGAGGTAACGCCCCAAATGCTATGTCAGGCTTTGCTAAGGAAAGATTCTGCTAATCTGTTCACTCTCCTGTAGTTTTTCCTTTTCCTTCCCCTTCTGGGCTCCTGCCTTGACCCTGACAGAGACCCCCTGCAGCCAAGGGCAGGGGTGAGTGGGAAGGCCAGGGCCCAAGCCCAGAGGAGAGTGTAGGGAGGAGGAGCCCATAGTATGGGGAGGAGACAGGATGTCATCGAGAGACAGCTTAATTCTGCCTCCGGGGCTCATTTTATGGTTAATTAGGACATGCAAATGAGCTGGAAGCTCCCACACACATGCAGCCCCACCCCACCCCGGCCCACTTCCTTGGCAGGTACAGGGCCCCCTGACCAGCCCAGGCATTTGATGGGGCTCCACTTGCTTCCCCACGGTCCTGCAGCTGCAATGTGTCTGCAGGCGACTGAGCAGAAGCAGGAACTAGAGAAGCCCCCGCTGGGCATGGCCCGGGGCCTGCCCGCCCTCCTGCCTTTCTCTCTGCAGCCTTTCCGATCTGGGGCCTCTCCCCTTGTTGCCTCTGGCCCTTTCCTGGCACCCACCATCAGGGTGGTTGGTTGCTGAACCCACACTTGCCCTGAGGACTGCTGTGGTTCACCTCCCTGCCAGCTCTCCAGGGCCTCATGGAACAGGGGCTCCTTGTCTCTCCCAGGTCACACCAACGATTCCTGCAGGGCCTGAGTAAAAGCTGAGGGCAGCCGGCCTCTCTGGCACACAGCAGGCGCCTGTCCCCAGCCCCAGTTCTCCAGAGCAGGAGTCAACACCCCTTGCGTGCCCTGCGCGCTCAACATCACCGTGTGAGCCCTGAATCTGGGCTCAGATTCTGTCTTGCTGTGTAAACTTGTGTCCGACCTCGCTGTGTCACCTCCTCTGTGTCGCAGGGCTGCAGGGGGAGTTGAAGGCCAGAAGGCTCCTGGGGGCCCAGCACAGCAGAGGCCCAACCAGCCCGAGTGCAGGCGCCACCCCCGTGACCCAAAGCAAGCCCGTAATTAACGAAAAGCGCTGTCCCTGAGTCGGGCCTCCTGGTCTCTGATAAACCCTTGGGAGCAACCTCCTGGGGCTGAAGCAAGCGTCGGAGACGAGAACGGGGTGAACACGTTTCTGTGCACTGCCCCCAGTGGCAGAGCTCCCCACTTCTGTGACTGGGTGATAATCAGCTGGGGAGCGGTGGGCTGAGCTGCAGGGGTGCTGTTTGGGACTCCCTGACCTGCCCTCCCTCACAGTCACGTTCTCAGCCAGGCAGGGAGTGAAGAGCTGAATGAGCCCCATCCTGACCTGATGGCCTGGTCAGGCCTCTGCTGGGCTCTCCCTGCCATTCAAGGCCTTAAGGGCTGGAGTCCCTGCCAGGCCCCAAGTCTCCCTCACTCTCTCCTCCCACCTAGGGCCAAGGGCCTCCTAAGTGCATTTCCTCTTGTGTGAAGTTTGTCCTGCAGGAGGAGGGGTCTCAGTGCAGGATGGCACTGCAGAGGAAGGGCAGTGGGCTGCAAAGGCCCTGGGGTAGGAACTGCAGGCCCCGGCACCACCACCCTCCCAACCCCCATCGCGCCCTGGGGCATTCGGCTGTCTCCAGCCTTCCCTTTGCTGCCTCTGCCGGACCCTGACAGCACACGGGGCGGTGCAACCTCTACCCCAGATCTCTGAATCCCACAGGGGACTTAACTTCCTGCACCTTCCTGTCCCTGTCCCCGCCCATCAGCCCTGACACAGCACAGATATAAATGCTCCTGATTTCTGGAGCACACGTGCCCGCACGGCAGCTAAAGCGCCTGGAACAAAGCCACACTCTGACCTCCTTATTCCCCTGCCCCAGAGCTCCTGGAAAGTCTGGGATAGAGGCCTCTGCGGGAGCAGGGTGTCGGGGCACAGCGGGGGAGGGGGTGCCAAGCGAGACTACCCTGTTGGGAAGCCAGGGCAGCCACCTGGGCCTTCCTTTCCCCTGCTGCTTGCTCAGGCCCTGGGCAGAGAGAAAGCAGGGGGGCGCTGGCCCGGTTCTCCCCACAGCATGCTTTGGGCCCCAGTGGCCCACACTCCCTGCTCGTACCCACAGCCCCTGGCCTCCGATCAGTGCCCAGAACCAGCTACCGCTGGCTCCCCCGCTGCCGCCCTCCCTCCCTGGGGTACACGGGGCTCTGGACAGCTGCCCCGCCTCTCTCTGAACCCTCTTCCTGCTGACCAAGAGGCCCAGTCCCTCCCGCAGGCCAGGGGGATGTGGCTGCGCACTGTGCAGGGGAGGCGGCCTGCCCCCACGGGGGGGGGGGGGCTCAGGCTGTCTCCTCTCCCTCTGCTCCCTGCTGCTGAGCCTCCTCTCAGCCTCTTCCTCCCAGCCTCTCGTCTGGAGGCTGCGGCCCCCAGCCGTCGGGAAACTGCAGGCCCCTGGTTTGGAAGGACGCCAGGGAGGGGTGCAGGGTCTGTCTGCGAACTCCTGGGGACGTCGGCCTTGTCCTCTTCCCGTGTTGCCGTGTGCCCAGAGACCCAGCCCTGCCCAACGAGCCCGGGGCAGGTGGGCTCAGCCTTGTTTCTGGGCACCTCTCCTGACGCTTCCTGTCCTCCGGGGAGGTGGGCTGCCTCGGCTGCTCCAAGCTCAGGCTGTGCCTGAGGAAGCCAGGGCTTCTCCTTCCCCATTCCGCAGCAGCAGTGCAGGTTAAAGGGCACCGCCTCCTGGAACCCCCCCCACAAAGGTCTTCTCTGTGCTGCTCCCCAGGCAGCCCTTATTTAGGAATCACTTGCCTTTGGAGCGTGAGCACTTGCAGGCCAGCAACCACTCTGCCCTTATTTCTCCATCTCTAGGACCCTGGGCTCCCAAAGCCCCGAGCCACGCCCAGCTCCTGCTTTTCCGCACCTCCCAGGATGACCCCCCCCCCCCCCCCCCCCGCCTCCCTCTGACTCTGCCCCTCAGCCCATTCCCCAGGAGAGACGGAAGCTGTGGCCAGAGCTCCAGAGACATGAAGTGCTCCACCCGCAGCCCCTCTTGAGCCCCTCGAGCTGCCTGGCTGCGCGCGGAGCCTGGTCCTCACCCCTTCCTGCCTGTGTTGCTGTGCTGCCACGGGGCTGCCCTCGGCCTCTCCTCTCCCCCTCCTGCTCAACCCCAGGTGGTTCCCACCAGAGGCCCAGAGGTGACCCCGGTCTCCAGGTGCGTCTCCACACTTTCCTGACTTGGCTCATCCCTTGTCCTATTTGGCAACAACTTGTGGTCCCAGCCTTCCCCTCCCTAGGGTTTTTCCTAACTCGCTATGCTGGAGGACCCCACCCGTGCTGGGGACACTGAGTCTGCTCGGTTCTCCTCCTCTCATTGTGGCTGCTGAGGGAGGGGCAGGAAGTTGGGAGGTGGGCGTTGAGCGCCTGCCCTACCTCCAGCTCCCTCCTGGCCACACTCCAGGCATTGTGTCCCTCCCAGGGGCTGCGCTGCCAGCAGGGCAGCGGGTAGAGCCATTTGTGTAGAAATGGTGGGAAAGGGGAAGGTATTGGGCATTCTATTAAAAAAAATAAAAAGCAAGTGAGGGCCTTCCACATGGGGTAAGTGCACAGACTCGGCCCCGCGAGCAGAGGACTCCACACGACTGCCTCATGGAGCTTGCTCATTATCCCAGTGAGCACTGGGCCAGATAGACTTTGGCAGGTGAAACCCTGAACTGAGGTTTCAAGCACCTGTTCAGCCAAGTCAGTCCACATCCCAGAAAACCAGCGCTGACTTCAAGGGCCTGCACTTCAGGATCCTGCCGAAAGTGCAGGGATCAAATATCTTCTTTAAACTTTCCCACGGGGCTGGCGCTGTGGCGTAGTGGGTGAAGCCACCGCTTGCAGTGCCGGCATCCCATATGGGCGCCAGTTTGAGTCTCAGCTGCTCCATTTCTGATCTAACTCTCTGCTATGGCCTGGGAAAGCAATGGAAGATGGCCCAAGTCCTTGGGCCCCTGCACCCACATGGGAGATCTGGAGGAAGTTCCTGGCTCCTGGCTTCGGATTGGTGCAGCTCTGGCCATTTCGGTCAATTGGGGAGTGAACCAGCAGATGGAAGACCTCTCTCTCTCTCCCTCTCTCTCTGCCTCTCCTCTCTCTGTGTAACTCTTTCAAATAAATAAATCTTCAAAAAAAAAAAAAAAAGCCTTCTGTTTTCCATCAGTGCATCCCTTCCCCAAGGGAGAGGGGCAGGGCCCAGTGCCACAGCTTAGTCCCACTAGTCCAAGTCCTGCTCTCCAGACTGGGAAGACTGCACGCTTAGCATCCCCTTGATCCTGGTGGCTCCTTCAAGCTCCCTAACCCTTCCATCTGGACAGACACAGTTGTGACGCTATGGGCAGGGCTGACGGGACAGACAAGGATGGCCACGCCACACGGGGCGGTCTGAAGATGGGATCCTGACAGGCGTGGACTAAGGCAAAGTGCCCTGGGAGGAGCCAGAGAAGCTGCTGTCCCAGGCTGGAAGGGAAGGATGGAGAGGAAAGCCTGGAGGACACGAGGCTGGGAACTCAGCTTCACTGTGTGCCCAGTGGGCGCTCGGCACTCTGCCAAGATGTCCGAGGGGCACAGACTTGTGTCCAGTGAAGCAGAGGGACAAAGAACACGAAAGGGAGGTTTTACTTTTCTCCAGTTGCTAACAGCTCTGCGAGTCGCCTATCAGTGTGGGTTCCCTTCTGAACTCAAACACTGGTCTGGGAGTGATGACAACCACATGCCTCAGAGGCCCCCTCTACTAGAGAACGGGGGAAAAGAGGGGAGAACGAAGCGTGGGCAGATCATGGGAATCGGGGTCACCCTACAGCAGGACCTTCCACCCTGATCTGCTCAGCAGTGTCACCAGCCCTGCTGCCCTCCCCTAGACTGCTGTGCCCTCGTTATGCACCCAATTCAACCTCCCAGATCATCAACGTCTTGTTCAAGGCTTGCCATGCTGTGGCCTCAATCTACTTTTCTAGCTCATTCCTTCCACATTATCTTAACATAATCTTAGCATTCCAACCAGAGAACTGCCCGTTCCTGCTTTTTTCCTAATACCTGCCTTTAATAATCTTTCCCACTCTTACTTGCTGAAACCCTCACCTTTCGCTAAAGGTCTAGTTAAAACCCTCTTCCCTAAAGCATTCACAGTAAGCACTTGTCCCTTCTGCCTCACACGACTTTGCTTGAAACTTCTTTATGGGACTTACCAGCTGCTTTTGGGCTACAGAGCATCTTCCCCTGCCGTGTCTGCCCGTGCTCTTCTCAGGGTCAGCTTTTTAGTTTCCCGCCAGAGTGCACCCACTTGGCTTGCTTGTCTTCCCTCTCCATGGGTCCCTCCCGTTGGCACACAAGCGTGCTGACTCACCCATCTGAACGGGGCAGCCTATGCTGCTCGATGTCGCCATTCTTCCCACTTTCTCCACATCTGCTTCACACTGTCCTCCCCATCCCATCAAGGCCACCTGTCGCCTCTTTTGGTTTTCCTTTAGTAACTCACATTCCATCCTTGTGGTGAAGTATCAGGGACCTGTTCTCTATCTGCGGTCAACCCTGACGATCCTATCCCATGTCAGGTTTATAAATATTAAATGTCAGTTTGTCAAGACTGCTTCCTCTGGATTTCATTTGTATCCAGCTGCCTATAATACCATTAGTGTATTCAAAATTGACCTCCTGATGTACAACCCTCCTGTCCTGATCTTTCCTTGTTCTGATTATTGGCCAACAATTTGAATCATTCTTGACCCCTAACACTGTATGTGCCAGTAAATCCTGCAGGCTCCACGTTCAAACTACTAGAACGCAGCCACTCTCCCCTATCCCCGTGGTCCATCACTTCTCACTTGATTCAGTCTTCCTGGTCTCTGCTTCCACGTTTGCCCCATCCGGGCTGCTCTGAAGTCAACAGAGTATTTCTGATGGTACACTCGGGGTGAGTCAGGTCAGCGAGACCCTTGCTGGGAACCCTTTCCCTAGACTCCACTCCCAGGAAACGCTGCAGGAAACTCCCTACTACCTAACCCCATTACTTCTGCTGTCTTCCGCTATTCTTTCTGTTGTTCACTCTACTCCAGCCAGTTTGGCCTCCTTGCTAGTTTTCCAACCCCCACATCCGCCTTATCTGCACAGGCTCTTTCCATTGCGATGATTGCTCTTCTTTCCCCCACGCAGTAGGATGGGCCGCATTCTTCACACACTCAAACCTCAACCCAGCAAGACAGAAGCCTTCACCCACACCCCTACCTTCTCTGCCCCGCACTCCTGCACCTTTAAACCCCTTGACTATTCTTCATAGCACTCACCACCACCCCACCCCCGCACCTTTCCCTTTTCCTAGAGACAACAGCTCCACAGGGAAAGTATTGGGGTCTGAATTGTTTAGCATGTATTTCCAGCATGCACATCAGCACCTGGAACATGGCAGAAACCCAGAAGTATTTATTGACAGGTCCATAAGGATCACGTCCTACTCTGCTTTGCATGTCTAATAACACAAACTTGAACACAATTAAGGATAAACAAAATTCATTGAAAACAACAGCTCTAAGAAAGAGTCTCACCACTGTTCAAAATAGGAAGATTTATTAAGGTTTTTCCTCAAGAGGAACAACCAATCTCGTTCTTTGTAGGAGAAGCAATTACTGGGGAATGGGTATCACACCTCGGGCTCAGAACCACAGGGGTCATTTCTTAAGAAGTCCAAAGAACGTGTATTCCGCCCTCTGTCACCTTCATTTTAAAGCTCATGGATGCCTACAAAACAGATTCCGTGATGCCTTCCCTGTAACCAGAGCTAAGCACCCAATTCCGAGCCTCTGGATGTTCACAACAAGAGTAACTTAAGACAGGCAAGAGGTGGACTGCACAGTCAACAAACCCGAGACAAAGCTGCGTAACCTCTACACCACATCTTCCAGAGTGCCTTACAATTTCTACATTTTGGGGCAAAATAAATGCTCAAAGCTGGGCGGTGAGACTGCCTCAAAGCTCACATTCATTCCCTCTGTGAGACAGCTCTTTCCAGATCTGGGACAGGCACCCACACAACTCTGCCCTTTTAAGTTTGGAGCAGATTCAAGAGGGCTATTTTAACACATATTTAGCTCCTTAAATAAGTACAAGATCCAAATAAAAGGTTACCCTACAAATCATTTCCCTCCTCCAAATACCTGACAATTTCTTGATGCTTTGGTTTCAACATACATGTATTATATATGAGAGCACATTTTATGTTTTCTAACATTCTACTATGACTGCTTACAAAGGAAAACACCATCGTATTCCTTATTCCTTTCAGTCCTAAAGCAAAATTCAGCGACATGAATTGATAAATACCTGTGTACCTACAAGGTTAAGAAGGTAAATATTTAAAACTGGCTAGGTTCAAAAAATGCAGAATGTTTTATCACTATTCGTTTGTGGATAAAAATGACCCCCAAACTAACCTCTTTTAATTTTAAAAGTTGGTAATGGCTGGTGCCGTGGCTCAACAGGCTAATCCTCCACCTGCGGCCGGCACCCCGGGTTCTAGTCCCGGTCGCTCCTCTTCCAGTCCAGCTCTCTGCTGTGGCCCGGGAGTGCAGTGGAGGACGGCCCAAGTGCTTGGGCCCTGCACCCGCATGGGAGACCAGGAGAAGCACCTGGCTCCTGGCGCTGGATCAGCGCGGTGTGCCGGCCGCAGCGGTCATTGGAGGGTGAAACAACAGTAAAGGAAGACCTTTCTCTCTGTCTCTCTCTCTCATTGTCCACTCTGCCTGTCAAAATAAATAAATATTTAAAAAATAAAAGTTGGTAATGAAATAAAGATCAGTATTTTCTCTAAGGATTAACTTTCCCAAGTACATTATGACTTCAAAGCAGTAGATTGCTTCACCGAGTAGTAAAAGGTGATAAAGAGAACTACCCAAATGGCCACAGTCCAGTCCAGTGTTATTGTTCATACTGCTGTGTGTGAGTGCGTCTTCACTGCCCCATTAGACTGTGAACTCTGGGGGGAAAGCGCATCCATGCCTCTTTGTGAGGAATGCAGTGTTTAGAGTAAATGGTCTAAACAGGTAGTGTCTGTAGAAGTATTAGCTGATCCTGAAGCTCCCCCTGCTGGAGGGCAAGATTATAGTTAGACTATCCTTGACTGATTTATAAACTACATTGCTTGGGGGCACTAACAAGCCTTTCAAGTCTTTGTGTTTTACTTGGAAAAAAGCCAACACTCACACTATCAACTATCAATTTAAAGCTTTCCTTTAATTATGTTATTCACACAACTGAAGCCATTATACTTTAAATAGACAGACGCGGTCCGGTTATGGTTTCAGTTCCTGGGTATTTATCAAATGGAGATCCGTTGACATTTCCTTTCGGACACCCTTCCCCCCAGCAGTTCCCACGGGGCCAGCACAGAGCCACGCCCACTCACTCTGCAGGACCCCTTTCCATCTTACCAGCAGCCACAGACTTTCTTGAGATGGTGACCCAAGGTCCTGCTGCTCTGCATGCCACTGTGTGCCCAAAGGCATTTTCTTCTTGAAAGTCCCACCTTTAACTCAAGTGAA